TTGGTCACCTTCCTCCCTTCCTCCCTCCCCCAAAATAAAACTAAGCAAAAAGGAAGTGGTCCAAGGAATACCACCGGTGGGAGGGAAGGAAAAAGGCAACATGTCCAATGACTAACCAGGAAAACATGTCAAACACACATGGCTGCAGGACTCTAAACAGAAACCGCCCTCAAGGGAGCCAAGGACCACCTGCCGGGAGCAAAGGGTTTTAAAAGCTTTTAAAGCTGTCTGGGTCTACATCCCTGCTTCAGTCTGACAGTAATTACTTTTATAGCAAGCCGGAGTTTACAGAGACAAACCCTCAACAGTAAAACACTTACCAGGGGACACTTGGAATTATGAGGGTCCATTTCTTTGGAGAAAGAAAATGCCCAAGTATCCTTTTCCATTTTGGGGGAAATTCATATGTGATTAATTTTTAGACTGGTTTTTATTCCTAAACAACTCCAAATTCTTCTTTACAGGAGCAGCAGCTTAAAATTTACAACTAGGATATTCACTAAAAGGAAACCCAACTTAAGGTGGCTTTCATAATTTCACAGGACATCCGGAGTGGGCTTCAGGCACTGACAAGTCTGTGGCTCCCAGGATACCCGTCATAAACCCAGACTGTGCTTTCTGCCCCTTACCCTGGTTCTCTCATCACCCAAAATGGCAGCAGTAGCTCCAGACATCACACCCAATGTCACAGTAGACCATGAATCTTACGCATTTTCGCCTTGATACAAAAGCAAATCTTCCCCTCAGTCTCAGTCTCCAGCAGACTTTCTATCATGTGTCTCTGGTCAGAACTAAGGTACATTCTCTCCAAATCGACTTAATAACTGAATTAGAGAGCAGTGATCCTCTGCATTAAATGCATCTCTTTTTTCTTGTTCTACTCCCCACCCCCACGTAGAGTCTAATGGTCAGCTAGACTGAGAAGCACTGAGTCAGAATCATCAGAATGACCTAGTCATGTGTCCCTTTGTCACGTGGGAGGGGGTGTAGACACCTGAACACAAGCTGAGTGGTCAGAGTGACAATGCTGCCTGGACCCCCAGTAGTCTAGATGGCCACTTTACAGGTGTGCTTTCGGACTCTTCACACCACTTTAGTCAATCCTCAAGCCTTTCTGCAGCAGGCCTAGTTTATAAAGAAGGAAACTGAGGCTCAGGTTTAGGAAGTGAAAGTCTTCCCAGTCTTCCAAATCCTCACATATTTTAATGCAACAGCAACTGGAAACTCATTTCCTTGAAAGGAATTACCATATGAACCAATGACCACATGAATCATTTCTCTGAAACAATGAACACAGATGGCAAAAGGGCACTTTTACACTGCCCTGAGAAAAACAAAGAAAAGTTAAAGCCCAAAACTATTAAGGCCAGAAGAACCTAAACCAAAGACCAGAAGACTCAAATTCTAGTCCTGGCTGCCACTCACATCCTTCTCCACATCTATGACAGGAGCAGTCTCACCCATGCGGGCTGGGAAGAGGGGAGAGGTGAGGGTGGAGAAAAGGGAGACCAGGAGGAGAGCAGGACAAGAGGGGGTGAGGAGGGAGAAATCCAGACCAAGCACTTTGGAAGCGCTGAACTCTCGGAAGATGACTTTACATAACTATGTGAGGGCTATTTGTTAAAACATCTATTTCCCTCTAGAACAAAATAGACTTCTCAGGAACACTTGTTGAAATGTGGCTTAGTGCTCTTTCTGGCAAATATGCCATTCATTTCTACAGAATCACAAGCATCTGAAACTGGAAACATCCCATGAAAGGCTAATAAGTGTCTAAACTGTATTGAAAGAGGAAATGGTTTGCTCTAGGAAAGGAGTGAAAATTAAAAAGACCTAAAAAGCCATTTAAACAGACTCTACGGGCTCCTGTTAATGTGTCCAAACCTCCCACCTGGGCTCAGGGTCCCAGGCTGCTCTCGATCCCCTCCCCTTCCGCTCCCTCCCAGCAAGCCTGTGCAGATCAAGTACTCTCCCTCCACTATCTCTTTCCCATAATGTCAAGTTTCTGCTGAAAATCTTTGTGATTCTGCACAGGAGAGGGCCCGTGTTCCCACCTTGTTTTCCTGGTCCTCCATCATCAACATCTCGTTCTGCACCCATCCTATTCGAAAGGAAACCCCCACGCCAGCCAAACAGGCTCCTGGGGGCTCAGCCTTCTCAGCTGTTTCCAGTCTGACAGGGCTCTAGGCGTCCCTTTAAACAGCCCCGAGTTCCCAGATTCCCAGCAAACCTTCTCCACCCTAAACTACAAACTGGCTTCTGACCAAGTTAGGATACTAACTTGCCACTGAGTTTTTCACCTTTTAACTGTGCATCTGCGTCAGGCACAATTCTTAAAGAATTCTGTCATTCAGACAGGAGTTCAAGCATGTGCCCTGGATGAAACCCGACTCAACTATCAGGCAATAAGGACAAGCACAAGGGCCTGTGTCTTGCTACCTCTGGGTATCTCAATCCCAATACTTAACACATTACAGATGCTAAGTATTTGCTGATTGCTGCATAACTGAACTCAGCAGAAAGCCTTCCGGGCCCAGAGCAACGCCTCCAACTTCTTTGCATACTTTTAAAACATTCAAGACATGGAAATGACATAAATCCAACAATTATGGGGTGGATGCAGGAAGCATCTTACAGGGCAATTACAAACAGAAACCATGTAAATACACAATTCTGAAAAAGCACAAGATGCCCTTTTTGCCAAAACATCTGAAAACATAAGCAATTTGACCCAGTTGCTTGTTATTCTCTTAGCTCCTCCCTCCGCCTCCCTCCTGTCCTTCCTTGACTTCTTGACTCTCAGATGTTATAGGCTCAACTGGTTCAGCAAACAATTGACCTAGACTGCAATTTCGAATGACCTAAACAAGCAATTTCCAAACACAGCAGAACCCACTAATGCCTCCTGGAACTAGGGCACGGGAAGCGGAATCAAGTGACGGCTCTATTGTCCTGCCGCCGGCCCTACCAGCGAAGGAGCAGTAAACTCAGGTGTCTCCACGTAATCCAGGGCCCTCAAGTCTTTGGAAGGAACCAGATGTGGAGCAGCCTGCACGAGGGCAGAGTGGTGGTAAGTTGCCAACGGCACGTGACCTAATGCTGGGTTTTTGTCATCTTCCGGGCAAGAGTTAAACATAAAGAAAAAAGTGACTCTGTTGCTCTCTTAGGCGTACCTACAAATACACTCCTGACGGTACATACCAGCAAGAATCAAAAGGAATAAGCTGCCCATTCAGATTCGGACAGGTCTAACATTCTGGAAAGGAGAGCTGACAGCTGGCCCCCAGACCGAGGAGCGGACGCTGGCACAAGAGGCTGGTGTCCTGCTGGCAGAGCTAATGCACAGGCACACAAATAGCTTTCTATCAGAGGCCAAATGGGCTTTGCCTTCTGCCTCTCTCCAGACCGCCCTCTGCATCTCCCTGGCTCTGAGGGAGCCGCTACAGCTGGTAAGAGGAGAAGGTTCATGGACCCCCACTGCCAGGGACACTGGTAAAAAGCAAGCTGCAGTCTTCAAGTTAAACACACACCTCCTGCACACAGGTCCCCTTCCCATACTCCTGGGCGTTACAGCCCCTCCTGCCACCCACCCCCACACATACTTAATGCCATCAACCAAGTCAGTGCCCTAGACACATGTCCCAAACAAAGTGATTTCCTGTCCACACTGTGCAAAACCAAAGAGGTCACACAACCAAAAGGAACCCTGGGCATCATCCAGAAAAGTGGAGCAACTTGCTTCTAAAATTACAGGGATGGCTCATTAAAGTCTGCCCATTAAAATGCATTTCAGTTCATTCACTGTGCGAGTATCTGCTGTTCCGGGCACAGCGCTGGGTACCTGAGACACGATGTTCGGATCTTTTCATCTCTGATAATGCAAAATGTTTGGGGGGGAGAGGGTGAAGTTGACATGGAGAACTTTTCCCAGAGATGTCTACAAACAAGTGAGAAGAGATAAATTCTCTAGACTGAGATTGTTGAATTGAGACACCAAGGAAGAGATAAAGTCCCAAGTGACCAAGCCAGGCTGGACAGGTCTCTGTGAGAGGGAAAAGGGGAAAGCACAGGCAGCTCCAGAAGGACCAGTGGGTTACAGGTGTGGTCAGGTGGGTTACAGGTGTGGTCAGGTGGGTTACAGGTGTGGTCAGGTGGGTTACAGGTGTGGTTAGGTGGGTCACAGGTGTGGCCAGGCGCCTTCCTGGAGCTAATACCTCCCCACTACCAGCTGCCTCCCTAAGCCAGTGTTTCGGCTTGAATTCTGCCCACCTTCCTCCTACAAAGACTCTTCTCAGCTATTCCAATTAAGCACATCACTCCTGACTTCTGTATCCACCCCAGTTTTTCAAGCAACAGGGCGCAGGAGAGGAGGCATCCGACTTAACCAGGGTGTATAATTCCCTGCGTGCAGGCAGTGCTCATCAGGCCGGTCTGCTTGCCCTCCCAAGCGCCAATCTTTGAACCCTCCTTGGCTGGAGGAGGGAAAGAATGCGCAGAAAGCGCACAAAGCCAGGTGAACTTTCTGGTTTGGCAAATGAAGAACCAAGACCAGACCGTCAGGGGAGATCAGAAAAACACACCGAGCGGTGAACTGAAGGTGCTCCGGAAGAGTTCACACCCGGCAGGTTTTCCAACCATCCTGCAAACTCTTTTCGAGCCGCCACAAAGCAAAACAAGTCAACCTACAGGCTGTTTTGTACCAGTCTGAGAGCAGCTTTTAAGGTCCAAGGACCCTAGCGCTGAAAGCCTAGAGCCGGTTCAGCACCCCGGGGTGCCCGGTAGAGGCCGCCCGGCTCGCGGGCCAGGGCTCCGCCGCGGCCGCGGGGTGGGGGCGGCCGAGGGGACCTCGCCCCGGCTGCCAGGGAAAGAAGGCTCCAGGGCCTCCGGCTGCCAGACGAGCCTCCCGACCCTGCGGAGACGCGCCCGAGGCCCGGGACCGTCCGTCTCCCCCGGGAAGAGGCGTCCCCGGCCTCGCCGCCCGCGCCCGGGTCCCCGCGTACTTTTGGTGGCCGCGATGAGGTTCTTCCCGTCCTTGATGAGCTCTTTGATGAACTTGTTGGTCCGCTCGAGCTCCGCTTCGTGGGCGCGGATCCTCTCCCTGAACCACGGGCTGTCGAGGTAGCAGTCGCTGAACTCCAGGGGCTGCAGCCCCATGACGGCAGCGGGGCGCGCAGAGCAGCCCCCCGACCCCGGCGGGGCGGCTGCCAGGTGCGGGGCGGC